TCTTTTTCGGGTGGAGGAGTGTTTTTTTTTTCGAGGGAAGTGTCCTACGTTTCTTTTACGGTGTGCAATAATTTCCGTTTCGCAGGAGAAGCGCGACCTGATCACGGGCCTGAAGACGCGCACCAACGCGGGCCGGCCCAACTGGGACAAAGTATTCAAGCAGCTGGTGGCGCAGAAAAAGGGCAAAGTGACGGTGTTCTACTGCGGGCCACCCCAGCTCGCGAGACTGCTCCGAGTCAAGTGCGACCAGTACGGCTTCGCCTTCCGCAAGGAGGTGTTTTGAGAGAGTGACTTGTGTGAAATGTGTGTAAGAAGTTTAAACGTGATACATAATTCAGTTCAAACAGCAACAGTTGCATCTGCAACATTTTGAATGTCCGTGTGTGCGTCAGAAACAGTTCAGTAGCGTGTATGTGCACGGCAGAATGTAAATGCGCTCTTACGAACTGAGGCCGTTTTGGTCTCCCAACAGTTGTATTACACGTCCCAGTATTAGTCAGTAAAGTTACCATATGATCGAATTCTGCCATCTTCTGAGTCCTGTCTCGTATTTATTTCCTCGACGTGCTCAGAGACCCCGTTGGAATGATGTGACCAGCTAGTAATGATTAGAGAGCAGGATCGAATTGTGAACCAGATCTTTCTACTTAAAGACTCAATGCAAGATGTTACCATTTAAATTAAGTTATTCAATCAATTATTAAGATGGAATAGATTCCAGTTTTAAATTGGTAGTTTAGAAATGGAATGTTCCTTCTGTAATATACTCCAGTTGCCATGAAGACAAGAAAATCAAGGTCATCAGCATAAAATGATAGTTACCATATGATGTTTACCGCTTGATAAAGAAGAGAACCAGTTATAAAGAATAAATTGCTGTGGATTTCCTATGAGTGATTTTTTGTAAGGAGACATGAAAAAGATAATTTTGGTTCAAGTACTATGTTCAGTTACCATTAGGTAGGCTAACTATAAAATGTTATGATAATGTGTGCTAAGTGAAATCTTCATATAATATCCTTCTAGGTGATCTTTTAAGCACCTTTACGTTCAGATGTAAATATCTCACACATCATTTTTTTAATTAGTTATTTTGATATTAGTTTTTTGTAAGTGTATTTTTGTACGAATGCCTGTCTAGCTAGAGTGTTGTCAGAGCTTTACATTTCTGTTGAAATTGATACCGAAAGTCTCTCGACGTAGGTGATTTACCCGTGTACCTTAATTTTCTACCGAAGTAGTTTGCTATAGAAATTGAAATACATATATATCCAATGCCGCAAGTTGCGTCTTTATCAATTGTCTCTCCTCTCCTCTCTCCCCTTCTTCTTCCCTTCCCAACCGGGGTACATGAGTGGTCATTCCCTCTTGTCACTGGAGTTGTAAGGCATACAAAGCTTAACCGGGTCTTCGATAAATTAAATTACACTTTATTCACAACACATTATTATCACACACGTATATACAAGACCGAGGGGCAGTGAGGGCGCGCTGGCCCGGCTGACCTCCTCGCCGACGCCCTCCGTCTAGCCCAGGAAGAAGGACTTGATGCCGACCCAGACGGCGGTCAGCTCCGGCAGCAGGAACACGCTCTTCTTGGTGGTGTCGCTGTCCACCACGGCGTCACTGGCGTCGGCGGCGACGGCGGCGGAGGCGGCGCAGCAGCACACGGCCAGGACGGCGAAGAAGAAGGCGAGGACCTGGAGAGGGCGGGGGAGGTGCAAGGTGTGAGGCAGGCGAGGGCCTTCAGGGTGTGTGCTGAGAACAGGTGGACAGAGTAGGCGCTTACCTTGGGGCTCATCGTGAGGAAGTGTGGGCGGGCTGGAGGTGCAGGTGCGTGCTGATGCGGCTTCGGCGTGGCGAGTGATGCCGGTCGCTCCCCGCCGTCCGGTTAAATACCCTCACCCACGCGCGCCCGGTACCCGCTGCCGGGTATGTCGGGTAATTAACGCAGTGGAAAATACGCGGGTAGCATGGGGCACAACAGAGGGGCGCGCGCCAGGCGTAGACGCGGGAGACTGCGGGGCCCGGGGCGGGACCGCGAGGCTCGGGGGTTTGGTCGCGGTAGGGCGGGGCGCAGCGGGGCTCCCAACCCAGCCGGAGTGGAGGGCCTGGTTGCGCGCCCCGCGCCCCGAGCAGCCAATGACACCCCAGCAAGCACATGTATCCAAACATGCAGCGGCAATCACCGGCTGATCGCATCGGCTATGCCGTGGGAAACATTCCAAATGACGACGTACGCGTGTCGTGTGTCATGGGCGCGTGGAGGTACAGACAACACCGCCGGGATCAAAAGTATTGTGTTGCATTCAGTTCACAACGTTACCTGCGCCACGATATAAGTTGGGCCTTAACGGGCTCTGCGGGCCGACCGGCGCGCTGGCGCGCATCCCTACTACTAGGACTTTTCCGGCTTTGAGGAGCAGTTTATATTCGCAATCCCGCCCAACCTTCAAGACCATGTATGCACACGGGGAAGTGTCACTAATTTTAATTAAAATTGTCTCTAACTCGGATATTATTTGAGATACAGCCCCTAACTTTGCGTCCATAGAACAGAATAGTAAAAACGAAAAGATCCTCACGTAAGCGTTAAGCTACAACCACCCCAAAAAAACATGTTAATACGACTAGAAGATTCTCTGTAAAGCCATTTGTTTAAAACTTCATTTTCTCGAATACTACTCCTATCACAGCATCCCGGCTTTGCAGGGCACTCTGCATTCATATGAGCTGCCTTCCTTATGGGGCCCTATCCTATAGGGAAACAAAAAACGTGAAACGAAAATAAAACAAAAGACTAGAACAAATTTATTGTTACCCAATCAAAGGGCAGGGCGCGCATACCTCCGAGAGGTCCATCAGACACCGACATAAGAAGCATGGCTTAGCAGCCCCGTTAAACGGCGGGGCGCGCGTGCCTCCGGCCAAGGAAGACAGAAGTGCCCCCATTCGGCCGCGCTGTGACAGAAATTTCCACGTAAATCGACTCTATCTCTGGACCTATTGGAGGTACAGCGTCCAGATTTAGGCTGTAGATTTCTCTAGTAAAACTGAACGGATCCTTAAGTGAGCAATCACCTCACGCACAGGTACACCAGTTTTATATCGATTCAAAGTAGGGTCCTAAGGGCAAATTCGTAGAACACCGATTCCTCGAAAACTATACATCCCACAGCGACCTAACATTGCAGGGCAGTTTATATTCACAAGCCGAACATTCCTGGCTAGTCTCCATTAGCTGGAGTAAAAAAATAAAAAAAAAAACCCTAAAAGTCAAGTGTTGAACCCGCGACAGGAAGCCGAGCTGGGCTGCGACCGAGCACCCAACCGCCTTCCCTACCAGACCACACTCCAGACCCGTGCTCAGACACCGGTATGAGAGTCACAGGTTTCCAGGCCAGCCTATTGGGTGGGCGCGCGGCCCTGCGCCCCGGCCGGCCCGAGAAAGCACCTTTTTGGCAGGCCGATGTCGAAAAAAAATATGTAAATTGCAATTATCTCGGAAAGTATTTGAGCAACAGCGCCCCGACTTCGCCTGTAGATAACTCTAGTAAAACTAAACAGATCCTGAAGTGAGCAATCACCTTCGCCTGTAGATAAGATAAGATTTCTCTCAAAATCATCCTGCAAACTACAGAGGCTCGGCGCCTGCAAAACTCGGGGTAGGCCACCCCGCAATACACGCATGCACAGCATGCAAGATTGTGCGTACCCATCACATCAGGCGCCATGAGAGCTGGCATTGCCCTAATTTGGAGGGTTCGTAACGCGAATGACGGATAGGGGGATTGGTGAGAGCCGACTGTGTTCATTCCACTCGAATGTTTTTGGCCTGTCAGATCAATTTTTATTAAAAAAAAGAAATTGGGGAAGAAAAATAAAAGTGTGCCTCACCCTTATCTGTGACGGGCCCCGCGCAGCTAATGAAAGCTACTTAAACGGATTGAAGAGGACTTGGGTTGTTGGACTTACGGGTGTCGCAAGGTGAGCAAGACTGAAACCCAGATTCAGAGGCCTTACCATCAGCGGTACGCGGGAATCGAACCCACAACCACGAGCGCCGAGTCAATTCGACAGTTACAGTGACCCTGCCACCAAAGCTACCCAGCCAACGGAGGTGAGCCGTGTTCCAATTCTACTTGAACTTCAGGTCGGCCCTGGGGCCTTAGACTAACACTAAGCGGAAAGCGAAAAATGTTGCCGAGCCTGGAGTCGAACCGTCGACCTGCGACGCTCTGGGCGGGTGCTCTACCGACTGGGCCATGGAGGCGAGATACCGGCGGTCGCTCCTGTCCACGAGCCATTCTAGGCCGTCGCGGAA